CTTTAATAAGTTTGACTAAATGTAAAAATGTAATTATTGAGGGTTCAAAAGTTTTGTATATTTTTTCTTACCGTATTTATAGTACCAAATTTCCGAATCTACATCTAAAACTACACTTTGAATTCATTTAAAAACAGGTTAACCACATTCACAAGGTCTAAGCTGGTAGAGAATTGTTTGAAATATAGAACAACATATTTAAAACTGACAGTTGATAAAAAAAGATTAAGAAAACTTTCTTAGATAACAGTTTCATTGACACCATTTTATTCAGGAAAGAGTTGTTGTATAAAACAAGTCCTCCGGTGGGTCAGCGGCAAGTTTACCGACTTACAACGCTGTAGACGGAGCACAGATAATTCATTGTGTATCTGAGATAAAACAAACAATGTGTTTGTTTGTTGGTGATTCTCACGCAAAGCTACTTCTGCACTAGCTGTCTTTAATTTTGAAGTGATTTACTAGAATGATGGCAGCTAGTCAACACCACTCACCCCCAACTCGTGGGCTACTCTAATCAAGCAGTGGGATTTGGTCGTTACTGCTATAACTTAACCCCACGGCCCCAAAGTGCGGAGGGCGTGTTTTATTTTCAGGAACGGGGTGCAAACCACAGAACTTTCGGAGATCCCCAGTCCGGCACGCTAACCACTAGGAAGTGCTCAGTCCAACAAACAAACAATCATAAAACAAAATATGAGCTAAAGTAAAATCACACCACTTTGTGCATAATTACTTGTTTTGTTTTTCGACCTTCTTAGTGACGTTACCGCACGTCTCAAGATTAAAAATGTTATTTTTGAACTATATATTAACAAGCTATGCATTGTTTTAAAATGCATTTATGTTTCAGAAAAGAAAGTTGTCGTTGTTGTTTTGAGCAAATTTGGTGTAAAGAAGTAATCTAAAAAAAAATTAAACTGACATAATGGAAAATATTTCATGTTTCTAGAATATATAAAAATGTTTCCTTGTTAAACATTATAATAGTCACTAGCGTATAGCCCGTCAAAAATAACGGGGCAAGTACTACCATCCCCACTCCATAGTATACCATAACCTCACATTTCACAGCTAACTGAAATAAACACATTTTGCGAAATCAAGCTTGACCAACAAAGAGGTAGAAAAGTGCAGTCGAGGCAGTCAAACGTAGGTATATTCCTTTGTGAGCCAATCAAAATTAAGATCATTCATGAAATGAATTCATGGCATAGTCATAGAGTAATTATTGGTAAAAATCAGTTAGATGAACAACTTATAATATATAGAAAAACCAGTGCGTTTTAGTAACACTACGTTCCAACAATAGCTTTTATGTCATGTTGCTTAGCAACCAAAGTATATATGTCCATGTAACTACTCCTCAGGGTGTGGGTGGATCTTCACCGTAATTGATATGGAGGTTCACTAGGTCCATGCGGAGGTACATACACAGTTGTAGTTTCACATTTTGTGTTTTGCAGTTTTTATGGGCGATTTTTTGCGTTTTTTTACAATTACATATAAGGGAAGCAACTTTTCATATCCTAAGATAATCTTTCATTAATTATGAATTTACATAACTTCCGTCCAAAGGATGGATACTCCAACTAGTAACTGAATATTGTTATTAGCCAATGTACTGAAAGTATAAAATGAAATGTATAGACAACAAAACTAGAACAATATTTATTTATTTCATAATTTAGAGTTTGCATTGATTAAAGATGGCCTATACACCGGAGATAGAGCGACTATACCAGGTAGCTCTTCATACCTAGCTTCTGATGACCTGTAGAGAAGAAAACTCAGATAACTTTTACATTGCTATAATGCGAGCGTCCGTGCCATCCCTATATACAAACTGCTAGCGCACTCTCCAATATTAACTACTTACAGCTATCTAAACAGAAAAACTAATATATTAACTATCGGAACTATCTAAACAGAGAAACAACCATCTTAACTAAACAGAAAAAACAGATAATAACAGTGCAACCTTGTGTTTGCAGATAATCACAGTACAAGCTTGTTTTTATTGATAATAACAGTACAATTTTATGTTTACAGATATTAACTGTACAAGCTTGTGTTTACACTTAATAACAGTACAACCTTGTGTTTACAGGTAATAACAGTACAAGCTTTGTTTACAGATGATAACATTACAACCTTATACAAACAGATAATAACAGTGCAACCTTGTGTTTACAGATATTATTCGTACAAGCTTTTCTTTATAGATATTAACAATACATGTTGTGTTTACGAATAATAACAGTACGAGCTTGTATTTACAGGTAACAATACAAACTTTTTCTTGCTATCATATCCATAGGAAATATCATTTTTTATGTTCAACTTGACCTGTCTGTGGGCAATAAGTATTTTACTCCTTTCATTACTCCGAAGTAGCTAATATGATCAAGTTTCAGTATCCTTCTGGATTCAGTAGAGGAACAACTTGATGACCAGGTCTGTCAGTAGTCCGTCCCTTGGGGCAAGATAGCAACTAAGTGGATCATACGGGTTCCTTAATTTCATCGATAACTACTAATTTTCGTTGGGCAGTTACTTAGCAAAATTAGTTTTCAACGTCATCTAATTTAAGTCAAATTGTTACCATTTGTTCGTCTCTTACCCAATTTATCAAATAAAAATAGAAAATTAGACTGGTACTTAAAATCTAGCTGTCCAAGTATGAACAAATAAACAGTTATGAGAGCTAGATAGAAAAATATATATATGCGTGTGTATGTGTGTTTGTGGATAAATCGGTGGACATGTATCTATCTATATATATATGTTATATATATATAACAGTCAAATGTAAAAATGCGTCTTTACAAGAGTACATTACTAGAAAATTATTCAATTCTTGCAATTTCTAAAATTTCATATCGATATCAACATAATCAGTCTTCGTATGTGCTGAACAGTCATTCTATAAAAAAAATAATAACTTATTAAATAATGTTTTTTTTTGTGGGTGAATTTCAAAGATAGGAGAATAAACGAAATAAAAACGCATAAAGAGAAAGAAACGTATTTGAGTATATATTTTATATTTTTCAGTTTATATATTTTTTTTCGTTTGTTTTTTAATGTCGGTACTATATACATGCATGATTATATTTTACCACGTCGAATGAATTGATTTGATCTTCTCCCCATTGACACTTCTTATCCAAATAGCAACTATCAAAAAGCGTTCACTTCGGTAGTGGTTTTTACTGGCGCTCAATAAAATGACAAGGAATGGTGGCATTCAGCTGAAAAAATTCACCGCGATTAATTAGCAAACGTGACCGCTCTACCTTATTGGATGTACCCATTGCATCGAAACACAAGCGCTGTTGCTAAAAATGCATTGCAGTCAGTCTCCTTTGCTTGAAAACAAACAAAATGGAATATTTTTATTGAAATGACACATGGAATGATAAAATGCGGTTGTAAACGGCCCACTAGACAATCATATTGCATATACGCTATGATCCAAAGCATTGACTGCACATTTTATATTTATTCATCACTAATTCTTAGGAACTTTACTGTTGAATTGTTTCAACGGGCATCTGCTAGTTTATACATAATACTAACTAAGCTAAGCAAAATGTTTTTTAGAATGCATAGAACTTTCTATTAACAGGGGCTACATATACAGAGAAACTACTATCTTAATTAATCAAAACTATTTAAACAGAAAAAACTGCTATCTTAACTAATCAGAATTATCTAGACAGAAAAAAATATCATGTGGAATAATCAGAACAGAGAATCTACTGTATTAGCTAATTAGAATTACTTAAACAGAGAAGCTAATATCTTAAATAATAAGAATCATCTAAACAAAGAAACTACCATTTTAACTAAGAGCTATCTATAGAGCTTAACTAATATTTTAACTATTCAGAGCTATCTAAACAGAGGAACAACTATCTTAACTAAAGAGCTACCTAAACAGAAGAAACTAACACGTTAACTACTCACATTTATCTAAATAGAGAAACTAATATATTAACTTCTAACAACTACTTAAACAGAGAAACAATCATCTTAATTAAATAGTTACTTAATCAGAGAAACTAATATATTAACTACTCAGAGCTATCTAATCAAAGAAACCAATATATTAACTACTCACAGCTACCTAATCAGAGAAACTAATATATTAACTACTCAGAGCTATCTAATCAAAGAAACCAATATATTAACTACTCACAGCTACCTAATCAGAGAAACTAATATATTAACTACTCACAGCTACCTAATCAGAGAAACTAATATATTAACTACTCACAGCTACCTAATCAGAGAAACATCCATTTTAACTAAACAGTTACCTAAGCATAGAAATTAATATAAGTATAAGGGGGAAAAAATTATCGCTAAAATTAAAATGCTATGTAGGGCTAGCTACTGTGATCGACTAATGATCACATAGCAGACTAAGCTATCTCGGCTTTACATGGAGAATAAAATTCCTATATTACTGGCTTCCTCAGTTTGTCTATCGAATGCTTGGTGTTTGAATTGAATCCCAGCTTTCATAATTATGCTCTTCCTTCAGTTAACTATATAATACTACTTTTATGACTATTTTACAATAGAATAACATTTTACGATTGGAACTTCTGGTTCTATATATTTTGCCAGTGAGGAAGACAGTAATATAGGGATTGTATTTTTCATGTAAAGTTGAAACAGCTTAGTTTGATATGTTATCACTAGCCGATCAAGTGATATGCCCACTCCCATCCCTATCTTGTTTGGCTAGTTTTTTCAAGTTTAGTAGCCAGCCCTACATGTTTTTTATTTAGTGATACATTTTTCCTTATACTTGTTTGCTTACTTTTTTATAAAATTTTTGCTAAACTTATAAAGCTTTAGAATAATAATAAAATAGGTAATCAAAGATCAAATGATGATAAAATTATAGTTACTGCTAGAACTAGGTAGGCGCTAGGCCTGTTGAAGAAATATGATGATGAACGAAAATAAGAAATCTCGGTTTTTACCATTCGCCGATTTTCGACTTTCGGACGCTCTGGATGGCTGAAAAGACAGATAATACGAGTACAAGCTTGTGTTGACAGATAATACGAGCACAAGTTGTGGTTACAGATAATAACACTACCAGCTTGTATTTATAGATAATGACAGTACAAGCTTTTGTTTATAGATAATAACAGTACAATCTTGTATTTACAGTAATAACAGTACCAGCTTTTATACAGTGCAACCTTGTACAAACAGATAATAACAGTGCAACTTTGTGTTTACATATAATGACAATACAAGTTTGTATTTATAGATATTAACAGTACAACCTTGTGTTTGCAGATAATAACAGTACAAGCTTGTGTTTGTAGATAATAACAGTACAACCTTGCGTTTACAGATAATAACAGTACAATTTTGTATTTACAGATAATAACACTACAACTTTGTGTTTACACATAATAACATTACAACTTTGTGTTTCCAGATAACATCACTACAAGCTTGTTTTTACAGATAATAACACTACAACCATGTGTTTACAGATAATAACAGTGCAACATTGTATTTACAGATAACAACAGTACAAACATATGTTTACAGATAATAATAGAGCAATCTTGTGTTTAGAGATATTAAAAGTTAAACCTTGTCTTTTAAGGTTTCAGTTCTTAAGCTGAATATTATTTTGTCTTATGGTTTGTGAGTTGTTTACTGAAATTAATTATGTCAGGTCTTATATTGAGTTGTTTTAAATTGTCGTGTCCTACCATAAATTGATATAAGGTTTCAGTTCTTAAGCTGATTTAGTTCGTCAGTCTTATTTTAAGTTGATTTAAATAATCAGGCTTTAAAGTGGTGTAGTTCATCGGGTCTTATCTTAAATTCACTTAGATTGTTAGATCTTATTTTAAACTTATTAATTTCATGCATCAATATGAATATAATAGTACTGTCTGTTGTCTGTTATATGTCCATGCAACTACTTCGCAGGGTGTGGATGGATCTTTACCAAAGTTGGTATGAAAGTTCATTAGGTCCATGTGGGGTTGCATACAAATTTTCAGTTTTGCATTTTGCGTTCTGTGGTTTGTATGGGCGTTTTTAACCACTACCTCACGTTTTATAACTGAAAGTGATATAATAGTTATCAAGCTAAGCCACGTTTTATAACTGAAATAGGTATAATGGTTCTTAACTTAAACCACGTTTTATGATTTAAAATAATATAAAAGATGTAAATCTACAGAATAATAGTTACGTAATGAAATATTAAAAAATATATTTAATTAAAGTTACAATTATTACCAAATAATAATAGCACAAACTTGTTTTTGTAGGCTTCACTAGCACAAAGTTAATTTTGTAGATGTTAATAGTATAAGCTTGTGTTTACAGATTATAACAATATAATCTTTTCTTTACAAATAATAACGATACAAGCTTATTCTTACACATGATAACAATACAACTTTATATTTACAGGTATTAACAGGACAACATTGAGTTTGCAGATATTAACAGTACAACCTTGTGTTTGCAAGTAAAACTGTACAATATTTTCTTTACAAATACTAATAATACAAGTTTGTACTTGTAGTTATAACACAACAAGCTTTTGTTTACAGATAATAATACTACAAGCTTGTGTTTGTAGATATTAACAGTACAAGCTTCAGTTTACAGATAATCCAGTACAAGCTTTAGTTTACAGATTATAACAATATAAGCTTTTCTTTACAAGTAATAACGGTACAAGCTTATTCTTACATATGATAACAATACAAGTTTATATTTACAGGTATTAACAGGACAACATCGAGTTTGCAGATATTAACAGTACAACCTTGTGTTTGCAGGTAAAACTGTACAATCTTTTCTTTACAAATACTAACAAGTTTGTGCTTGTAGTTAATAACACAACAAGCTTGTGTTTACAAATAACAACACTACAAGCTTGTGTTTGTAGATATTAACAGTACAAGCTTGAGTTTACAGATAATAACAGTACAAGCTTGTGTTTACAGACAATAACCGTGCAAGCTTGTGTTTATAGATAATAACAATATAACCTTGTGTTTCCAGATATTAACACTACGAGCTTGTGTTTATAAATAATAACAGTATAACCTTGTGTTTACAGATATTAAATGTACAACATTGTGTTTGTAGATAATAACAGTACATTGTGTTTACAGATATTAACAGTACAACCTTGTGTTTACAGATAATAACAGTAAAACTTTGTGTTTACAGATATATATTAACAGTACAAGCTGGTGTTTATACATATTAAAAAGTACAAGCTGGTGTTTACAGACAATAACACTACAAGCTTGTGTTTGTAGATAATAACAGTACAATCTTTTGCTTACAGATATTAACAGTGCAACCTTGTATTTGTAGATATTAACAGTACAAGCTTGTGTTTACAGACAATAACCGTGCAAGCTTGTGTTTATAGATAATAACAGTGTAACCTTGTGTTTCCTGATATTAACACTACGAGCTTGTGTTTATAAATAATAACAGTATGACCTTGTGTTTACAGATATTTAATATACAACCTTGTGTTTACATATAACAACACTACAACCTTATGTTTACAGGTAATAGCACTACAAATTTGTGTTTACATATAATAACACTACAACTCTGTGTTTACAGATAATAACACTAAAACTATGTGTTTACAGATAATAACACTACAACCATGCGTTTACAGATAATAACAGTGCAGCCTTGTGTTTAGCAGACAATACCAGTACAAGCTTGTTTTTACAGATAATAACAGTGCAACCTTGTGTTTAGAGATAATAACACTACAACTTTGTGTTTACAGATACTAACAGTACAATCTTGTCTTTATAGATAATAACACTACAACCTAGTGTTTACAGTCATTAACATTACAGGATTGTGCTTACAGATAATAACAGTGCAACCTTGTGTTCAGAGATAATAACACTACAACTTTGGGTTTACAGATATTAACAGTACAATCTTGTCTTTATAGATAATAACAATACAACCTAGTGTTTACAGTCATTAACATTACAGGATTGTGCTTACAGATAATAACAGTCCAACCTTGTGTTTAGAGATAATAACACTATAACTTTGGGTTTACAGATATTAACAGTACAATCTTGTCTTTATAGATAATAACAATACAACCTAGTGTTTACAGTCATTAACATTACAGGATTGTGCTTACAGATAATAACAGTACAACCTTGTGTTTAGAAATAATAACACTACAACTTTGTGTTTACAGATACTAACAGTACAATCTTGTCTTTATAGATAATAACAATACAACCTTGTGTTTACAGATATTAACATTACAAGCTTGTGTTGTCAGTTGTTTACTGAAATTAATTATGTCAGGTCTTATATTGAACTGTTTTAAATCGTCGTGTCCTACCATAAATTGATAAAAGGTTTCAGTTCTTAAGCTGATTATTATTTTGTCCTATGGTCAGTTGTTTTCTGAAATTAATTATGTCAGGTCTTATATTGAACTGTTTTAAATCGTCGTGTCCTACCATAAATTGATAAAAAACAATAGGACAAAATAATAATCAACTTAAGAACTGAAACCTTTTATAAATTTATGGTAGGACACGACGATTTAAAACAGTTCAATATAAGACCTGACATAATTAAGTTCAGTAAACAACTGACAAACAATAGGACACAATAATAATCAACTTAAGAACTGAAACCTTTTATCAATTTATGGTAGGACACAACGATTTAAAACAGTTCAATATAAGACCTGACATAATTAATTTCAGAAAACAACTGACAAACCATAAGACAAAACAATAATCAGCTTAAGAACTGAAACCATTTATCAATTTATGGTAGGACACGACGATTTAAAACAGTTCAATATGAGACCTGACATAATTAATTTCAGAAAACAACTGACCATAGGACAAAATAATAATCAGCTTAAGAACTGAAACCTTTTATCAATTTATGGTAGGACACGACGATTTAAAACAGTTCAATATGAGACCTGACATAATTAA